GTTAAACTCAAAACCTCATAATAATATTAAATGTGAAAATGGGTGCCACGAAACGAGGCAGCATTAAAACTTACAGCTATTAAAATTTTAATCTCAATATTGCTGTGGCAACAAACAAATGCCGAGGGTTTCTCACTACATTATCCATAACGGAGATGTATAGATATGTCTAAATAGAACAATATTTTCTCATCATTTTGTGTAAGCAGAATAAGAGTTAACTGAACTCCTAAAGCTAGAGCTTGGGTTTAAACTGTCCTCTATCGTCGTATTCGTTTAACACAGAAGTTTGAAATTTAGTTTTGAATTTTAGTGCTCATGAAACGAGATTGATGGCTTCAATTAGAGTTTAAAGATAATTATTTTGACCCTTTTCTAGCACGGTATAACGCGTTGTTTATCTTAAAGATTCCCCTAAATAAAATTAGGTCATTATTTGCATGTTACAATAATTCTTTGAATGAAGGTGGAAACAAGTGTACCTAAATTTGCGGAAGTAAATAAACAACAATATGAGTCATTCTTAAATCAGACAATTTCACAAGATTACGTTTATTCTTTTCTTAAAATATACCACTACAAAATATACGCACCTTCAGTACCCCCAGCGCTCGTTTATCTGCTAGCTTAGAGTCCATCAAAGCATTTTAACCGAGATAACAATTTTGTACAATATTATAACTAGACCATACATTTTGACGAAGGAAGGTTGATTAGAATGTTTATTTTAAGCAAAAAAAAAAAGAAAGAAAAGAAAAAAAACTGACGTTTTGAGATGCAATATCGTAAAAATTTTATAAAAAAATGATTTACTTCAATATATCTTAGTGCGACAAGCAAAGAAGCGCCCTCTGCTCTTTGTTATTGTATTGGTAATGCTAGTTACTAATTTAAAGTTATGTTCAGTGCACTGGAAACACCACGTTTTATGGTGCACTGGGTCAGGCGATCCCGCAAGAAATGCCCAAGCAAACATTTAAATATTTGGAAGGATGTGTTCTAAAACAAGTTTTTCAATGCTTTGTACTTGAGCTAGTGCATGACGTAACTCTAAGCCCCCTCTCATTTTTTTCCCGGAGCGCTCCATGGCAGCTACATCGCATGACACTCTTTAACGCGAACAAGCAATCGACTGATTTTTCTCTTTTTGTTTACAATCAGAATGTTGTCGTTAGTTCTTCTGATTTTGCAGAACGGTTGCCCAATTGAGGCACTAAAGTGATCAAATTTGATGCCAGCAAGTATTCTTTCGACGTAGAATATGAACAAGCTCCGATGTCACGTTCGGGCATCCGGGTTTTTTTCTTATGCACGAGTCCGACTATACTTTGTCCCCGAGCATGGACTAACTGCGAAGGCCGTGGAAGCGCAAGCGACTAGCCTTGGCTGCTTTGCCTGAAACACTCGCTGCACGAGCGCTCGTGGAGCTGTCGAGTCTTCATCGAAAGCAATTAGCTCGCATTTTTAGCAAGCGCAGCTAATAATAGTTCATGCTAAGGTGAAACGAAGTATAGATGCTTTGCAGTAGCTGTGCATGGGCGCCGCCATAGTCGACCTTCATTTTTGTTCTCTTTTATTCTGTTTACTTCACTTTAACATTACCATTGCAGGTCAGGTCCTTGCCATTTTGGATTTTACTGTGTCCTCTTCCTCAGCATTGGCCTTAGTGGAGGCCCGTTGACGCCCGTTTAAGGGGCTCGGTATCTAGGTAAGACGAAAAAAGGCCGGCAATGCCGGCCGTTATCTGGCGCGTGTGTAGAGCGTCTATCTTTTTTTTTCATGCGTAAGCATTTTTTTAGGGGTGGGCGAATATTCGAAATTTCGAATAAGTATCGAATATTAGACATTGAATATTCGTACTCGATTCGTAAACTAATTCTTTGGTATTTTTCGATTATTCGTCGTAATACGAATATTCGAAATTAATGGAATATCCGAGAACGTCTTCGCAAGCTTAAGTTTTGCTTTCGGCTTCGGTTTCGGTAAGTACGGCCCAGCGACAGCGACATAGCTGCATGCAGGCTTTAACTTAAGCTGGTGGCGTCGGTGACGGTAGGGATAATCTGCGAGTTTTTGTTCCCTTGTGACTCCTAATGTTTTAAACTGCTCACTTTTGCGTTCGCCCACTCGTGTTCTGGCGGATGAAGATGTTTGCGAAGAACCATGTGCGAAGCGGAGAAACGAAACAGAAACAGCGCCAAAATGAAGAGAGAGAGTGTTTTTGGAAATATATAATGTAAACCTCAAAGTACATCCTGCGTTTTTGAAAGAGTATTATGCAATTACCGCTGGTACGCCAGGAAAAGATCAACCGACGCTGACGGACTTAGTGCGCCGCACAGAGTCCCTGCCAGAAAGGAGGGTGCGAGCGCTAAATAACAAGGTGGCCGCCATGGTGGCGCTTGATCTAGAGCCTTACAGCATTGTGGAAGACTGCGGCTTCAAAGAACTTCTGACAGAAGCCCTTTCCAACTCCCGTCTACCATCCCGCTCTATACACTCTCGCGCGTGCTTGTGCCGCGCATGCATGACGACACACGAAAGAATGTTTAAGCAGAGCTCCACGGTGCCTTTGAAGGCGGCACCACCGCTGTTGCCTTCACAAGCGACATATGGACATCGCGCGCTAACGAAAGTTACGTGAGCTTCACCTGCCATCTTCTCACTCCAAAATTCATGATGAAGCGGTTCATACTGAACAATCGACACATGGCTGCCAGTCACAGTGCTATGAAGATTGCAACTATGTTGGACGAATTGTGCCGTGACTGGGAGATACCCAATGAATCTGCAAAGTTCTTCGTAACGGATAACGGGCGCAACGTCAGTGCTGCGGTAAGGAGACTTCCGTAGACTGAAAGAGCGTGCTCCGCGCATACACTTCTGGCGATTAATGACGCGAGATCCTATTCGCCAGCCATTGATCGCCTGTACAAGAAAGTGAGGCATGTTGTCGGACATTACAAGCACAGTTCATCAGCTCAAAAAAGGCCTGAGGAGTGCCAAAAAAGATGAGAAATGACACACTACGTCTGGTGCAAAACGTGGAGACGAGATGGGATAGCCAGTATCTAATGTTGCCTCGCATTCTGGAACTCAAGTAAGCAGTCACTGTGGAGCTTGCTACCTCTGACTTTGACATCGATGGATTTGGTTCATCAGAGTGGAAAAATGCTTCTGAATATGTACAAGCATTGAAGCCACTGTTTGATACCACTGTTATTGCCCCTGCTGAGAAGTATCCATCGTTGTCCTCCCAAGTTCCTGTGATTTTTGGTATGCTCTACTGTTTAGGTAACTGTTCTGGGGCATCAGAATTTCCTGCAGAACTGATATGATCCACCGAGGCAAGGTTCGCTCTCTATAAGAAGGACGAGGAAGCATGTTTTGCCATGTTGTGTGGACCCACGCTTCAAGTCCGCTATTTTTAAAGCTGAAAATAAAAAAAAAGAAATTATGGCTAAAAGCTATTGTGCTACAAGAGTTAGCCTCATATGATGCTATACTGAAGAAATACAGCCGGAAGCTGCAACACAGTCAAAAGAGCAAGGCTCAACGCCGTCAGCAATGTTTGGCAAGCATTTGACCACTTAGCCAAAAGTGCTATGGGAAGCAAAGTGGTTTGCTTTAGAATGGGAAGTTGTAGCGTATACGGAGGAGGCACTGCTAAGAGAGCAATCCGTGTGACTGGTCGCTAACTGTCAGGTGCTTAAGACGTCCGAGTCTGGTGAAGCTTTGCATCAAATACGTGGCAATACCTGCTACTCCAGTGACGAGTGAGAGAGCTTTTTCGGTTACTAGAGGTGTAGTTTCCGCTCGAAGGGAGTACCTCCTGCCTAACCATGTACAGCAGTTGATTTTTCTACATGACAACTTGTGAACTTCCCTACAACTGGGATTTTCGTTTTTGTGTTGGTATTCTCGTTAACAACATTGCCTCACTTGTGTTAACGAGAATAAAAACACAAAAACAAAAATTTTAGTTGTAGGAAAAATCACAAGTTGTCATGCAGAACGGAACAAATCAACTGCCGTTTCTGGAGTACAAAAAAAAAGAAAAAATTAAAAAAAAATTAAATGCAGTTTCGACATGTGAATATGAAAATACTGTGAAGAAATGCATCTGCCTTCGACTATTCGCTATTCGATTCGATATTCGAAGCTATAACTATTTGTATTCGATTCGTATTCGAAAATATTAACATTCGCACACCCCTAATTTTTTTTATATAGAGCCACAAATCGAGACAATTGACATCGACAAGCCTCGTGCACATGCAGGATGCACGCGAAGACATTTTTGAAAAGCCTGCAGTCACTGGTGCTCGCTTCACGAGCGCCGAGAGACTGCAAGCCTGTCAAAAGTATGATCGTGTGCATGTTGCGCGTGTTTGAGGCTTGTCGGTCTCGGTTGTTTTTGTTTGTCCCTCCAGTGACTACCTCCAGCGAGGTAGTCAGGGCACTCGGTTCACCCTGCTGAGTCTGTAGTAAATGGCACGAGCACGAGGGCAGGAGGTCGCTGCTTTGAAGCGTTCTTCCGCACAACGAGCGCTCGCGATACAAATACACGTCTCAAAGCCAGGAGCGCTGGCTAGCTTTTGCTGCAGTCTCAGCTTAAGAGTGAACGAAGTATTGAGGGACAAAACGAAAAGTACAAAGCTGTCACAGTCACTCCAGTGAGCTATCCTCGATAACACTTGGGCGTCTCGTGGGCTTCGAGCGTGCCCGCACAGCACGACGAAACGCAAGGAGCTCGTGTTCGAGGCCGGTCATCCAAAGGAAGTGCCCTGGCTTTTCTCATTCAGTCAATGCCAACGGGGTAAAGTAAAAAGGCCACTCAGGGCGCGAATCTCAGAGGTAAGTGTTAGTGCTTGCCGGCATCCTTGCTGAACAAAAGAAAGAGAGAGAAAAAAAAAGCGGACATGCGATTACGTTTCGTTTGCGCGTACGGTGCCGCGCACTGTAGGTACTACGTCAACGCAGATGGAGATGGGACTCACCTGCAGCTTGTGTACCTCCCTGTTGAGCCGTACAATCTCCCTGTCTCGGCGTTCCAGCGACGCCTTCAGCTTGGAGATCTCCATCTCCATGGCCAACACGGCACCAGGAGCGATGGACGAGCTCCGGCGGCCCACGCTGCTGCTCAGCCTTTGCTGGCATCCGGTACTTGGACAGGAGGAAGCTGCGCTGGCGGGTGATGGAGACATCGCGAGGCCACCTCCGGCCGCCGCGTGGCCCACCGCACTCTGGGCGGCACCCATGGTGACCACCGTGATGGTAACGGGCCCGTCACCGCCGTTCCTCCACGCGGTCCAAGCCCTGACCGGCTTGCAACACCATGACGAACTCCCGAAGGAAGCCGACCGACTAGGGTCCTCCGACGACGTCTAGAGGCTGTGTTAGGATCTGCTGGGTCCTCAAAATATCCGCGGCGAGACGCGGATGATTATGAGCTGTTTAGGGTCGTACGGTTTATGACGACCTTTCTTGAAGACTAGCTTTGATCCGTTGTTTCGTGCCGCAAAATCGACGCTTATTTGGAGGTTTAAACACCAGATTGTTGAAAGTCGCAGGGTGGCACGTTGAGCGAGGAGTGTCAGCGTCTATCACGACCACCCTCTCGGACTCGCTATTTTTGCGTGTTGCGCAGTCTGACGTTGTTGGGGGTGTCTCAATACAAGACTCTTGGTCCTCGCACGGTTCCGCGGCGTGACAGAAGCGTCAGCGTGTTGCAGGGTCAGCTTCTTGGGGTCGTTCTTGGTGAGCGCTGCACAGTTAACAAATTTTAGAGGTATCAACACCTGACTCTTGATTTTCGCACTGTAACCACCAAGTGAGGGAAGCGTCTGTGTCTCGCACAATCCCCTGCTCGGATGTGATGTTGTGTGTCGCACAGATTCACGTTTTGTGGGGCGTCTCAACACCAAACTCTTCAAAGTCGCACGGTAACCAGGGCGAGTGAAGCGTTCAAATATCCCGCCCAATCAGGCGCTCGTACTCGTTGTCGTTGTGCTTTGCAGGAACTGCCACTTTTTGAGAGGTACCAACGCGTTACTCTTGAACGTCTCACGATAATCACAACGATCCAAGCGCACCAGCGTCTCGCCACAACGTCTTGGTTGCTTGAGCGTCGCGCGGTTACGACCACGGGTGAAGCGCGCTACACAGCGACGCCCGTGGCTCCGGTGTGTGGTGGTCGGCGACCGCTACTAAACTCCCGCCGTGCACGCGGTTTGAGCTCCGGACCGTAACCTTTCCTCCCCATGCTCCTTCTCTCTCCCCTTGCCCTGAGAGTTCCGGTGCAGGCCGCAGTCGAAGCTCTAGTCGCGTTCATCGGCCGCCGCCCGCCGCCACGCTAGCGCCATCCCTCCGAAGCGGCTGCAAGTGGAGAGGCAATGGGGAGGGCGATTGGATTGAGTCTGCAAGGAATTTCGCTATTCTCCGGCTTCTTTTTCTTCTTACAGTTAATAATCTCAGCATAAGTGCAGATATCTGCAAAATGTCAGTACATAAAAGTGGGTGCGCGCGTTCCGGCATGAGTTTGTAAGCGGAAGTTTGTTTGCGCATATGTCAAAACTTCTTGGTGTTCTAATTTGCTAATAATAATGTTGCTAATTGTTTGCGCTTTTTTTTCGGATGCTGATGCTTTATGTTGTGTTCGTGTAAAATGCTGTAGGAGAACCGCTAATCAAGTGAGAATACTTTTTGTATAGGTACAGGATGCTGCCGGCAGTGTTGATGTTTTTACTTTTATATTTCCCTTAGATTTGATATTTATATTTTACATTCCTCGCCTGCCGACTGCTGATGGCACGTCAAAAGGCTTTGTGTCTTCTTTTACCGCATCCTCCGAAACAGAAGTATGTCTGAAATATGTTATTATTATTATTATTATTACTATTATTATTATTATTATTATTATTTTCGTATTTAAAAAAGTTGCTGAAGAAAAAAAGCTTCTCTCATCGCAAATTTAAAAAGATTGGTAGTTTCAGGTGGAAGTCTGAGTTCATTCATTATAGACGCCTCTGTAAGCAACATCAGAGGATTGATCATAAGCCATATGTAGAATGGAGTGGAGCGCGAATCGAGGAGAAATCCAAGAAAACTCTACCGACATGTTCGTTCTCGAGGTGGAAAATTGATACTTCCTGATATTATACTTAATGAGGAGAATGTGACCACGTCCAGTGTATGCGATATATTCGCGCGTCATTTCAGTTCTGTATATAAACACAATAGGAGTGGGTACCAACAGCCGCCATCCCCCGGTGTGAACGGATCCATTTCCCCCTTGCCTGTGGATGAGGGGAATGGTTCAGGAATGCATAAAAAAACTGAGGCCTACCATGTCCTCAGGTCACGACGGTATTCCAGCAACACTTGTAAAAGCATTTCACGAAATTTTCACACCCATCCTCCATGACATTTTCAACAACTCCTTAAGAGCAGGCGTGTTTCCTGACATGTAGAGGAAGTCAGTCGTAGTCCCAGTCTACAAGTCTGGAAGTCGTACCACTGCGTCAAACTACAGGCCAGTGTCTCTGCGCTGTACATTTTCGAATCTTTTCAAAATAGTAGTCCACAAAACATTGTCCTTTCGTTTAAAAAATGTGTTAAGTTCCAACCAACACGAATTTGTATCAGGACGCTTTACAACAACAAATTTGATTTCCTTTATGTCTATTGCATCCAAAGCTGTGTGCCACAGAGGCCAGCTTGACGGGATCTACTTTGATCTGACTAAGGCCTTTGATGTGATTGACCATGGCATTCTTTTATCAACAATTTGTGGTAATGGTGTCTGCGGAGAGCTACACTACGGGTTTCAGAATTATTTGTCTAATAGAACATGTTTTGCTCGTGCGAACTCCGCGTATTCTTTTACGTACACGGCCACCGCTGGGGTATCTCAGGGATCAGTCCTGGGCCCACTTCTTTTTTCTATTTTTGTGAACGATGGGTGTAAGCAGATTGTGAACTCGTCTTTTTTTTTTTTTTTGCAATATGCTGATGATATTAAGATATTTAAGGAGATTAAAACTATCTCAGATTGCAAGTTTCTACAAGAGGACATAAACTCATTTAGCAAATGGTGTTCACCGAACGGTCTCCTACTAAACAGCTCAAAAACCAAGGTGATGTCCTATAGTCGCGAAACGCAAACAACGTGGTTCTCTTAGAGTGTTCGCTCGGGGAGTGCTTTTTGAGTACTCCTCGAGATTTGATAGCCACGTGGCTCGTATAAGTACTTGCGCCTTGCGCGCGCTCGGTGTTGTTTGTCGAACGACTAGAGTATTTAAAAACTCCACAACGTTTGTGACCCTGCACTATTTTTTGACAAGGTCTCAACTCAAACACGCATCTCCTGTATGGAAGGGTAGTTGTAAAACTACCCTCCTAAGGCTGGAGCGAGTGCAAAACAAATTTTTATCTATTTATCGATATCGATATCTGCGCGATGAAACATCTCTATCAAATAGTAACGATGTATTGGACGTCCTAGAAATGACCAGCTTATATCACTGTCGAGAAAAGGTAGATCTGGTTTTCCTTTTCAAAGTCCTTCATGGCATGGCCGACTGTTCAGAACTGCTCTCACAAATATCTTTACGAATAAATCAGACAGTGACCCGTTTGACAACGCCTTTTTACTCTCCTCCGACGTTAAATATCCTGGACCCTGTGTTTCGCATGTGTCGGGCATATGATGGCATTTCAAGTGATCTTGATATCTTGTGTGTGACTGAATATGTCAGATCTCTCATAGTCTTGTATGGGTCTCGCTGAACCTGTGGTGGTTGTGATGTGATTATATAATATTTGTGGTAGTCTCCTACTCTGCGTTCGGACCCTGTGTTCCGTTCTTTCCTTGTTGTGTATATCGTATCTTTGTGTCAGCATTCGTTATATGTATCATATCTTTTACTCAATGTTTTGAGATTTTTATGTTTCTTATTTTATTATTTTTTTTCTACTTTTTTGTTGTGTGTAAGTTTCGGTGTGCCAGTACCAAGACCGCATGGCCGTTCCTGGAAACCTAATAAAAATTATTCTTGATTGATTGATACATTGACTATTATTATTATTGTTACACCCCTTGTTGTTCCGCTTGTGCCTGTCGGTTCTCATCTTCCACTGTGTACGTGTGTGTGAGTTCAGACTTGGATAAACGTGTGTGTGGTGTGTGTCTGTGCATACAAGTTTATGAAGCAGTATGCTTGCAAATTTGTGTGTAAATGTGTAAAAAGCGTGTGTAAGCCGCGCGGCACTGTTAGCGCGAATCAGTGCTGGTCACCGCTTTTTTTTTATTTGCAGGTTGTCATCAAGATTACTAGTATGGTGGAAAGATTTCATTTAATGCATTGACCTATGCAATGAAATATGATGCTCGAAAAGATACTCTAAAAATGCGAAAAGCGCGCCGATGTTTTGTACACACTAACCGTCTCGCACAAGTGCGGGTTTGTGATTGCACACTTTTTTCTTCGTTGAAGTGAGAACGCCCATAATATCCATACACGAGAGATTGTTTAGAAAAACGCACAGCGAAGCGAAGGCGTGTGCTAGCCGCACTTGCCTCCATACGCAACTACTTCTATTTCTAGCTTTCCTGAGCCTAGTCATGAGCGGCACGTCTATCTGCTTTGCGAGCGAACTCGCGTGTTAATAATATGGTCAGTATTGAGAAGAGGATGAAGTTTCGCTTATTAAGATCATTGAGCTGAGACCTCGTTTTCTCTCCCGAAACTTCCCTTCACGAAGGACACTGAGAATCATTGGAGCCCCGGTGCCGAAGAAAGGAGATACTTGTTGCTTCAAACTGTTGACAGGGAAGTCGTTCGGCGAGGGTCGCGAAGGGAAGGGAGATACTTCATTAAATGTTAAAAGAGCTTGAAGGTGGCCGAAGAAAGCTGCTGGAGATAATTATTTTCGTCGACGCGAGACAAAAATAAAAAATGAGCAGAAAGGAGACGATAGAAAATGCAGAAAATTTGTTTAATTCAATGTAAGAATCTGCGAGGCGGAGCCGGCCTAACGCGACCGGGTGAATGAAAGACAAGCTTTATCGTATGCGAATTTCTTCCCTCGCGGAATACGATAGGGCGCTTCATTGGAAGCGCTTTGTCCGAGTGCATAAATTGTAATGGGATGTACAATGAGGCTGTCAGAAGTCATTAGGACCGAACAGGTATTACATGCCATTTTCAATTTCTTTCGAAGGTTCTCTTTGTTCTCGGTGCATAATATTTGAGGCTAGCGGCGATAAAATATTTGAACGTGGAAATGAAAAAGTGAACCTTTCTTTTTTTTACATACAGGCGGTACTACAATTTTTTTCATGTTCTTTATATGGCTGTCTCATTATACGAGACCCGGCGAAGAAATAAAATTATCGATGAAACAGAAACGGGCCAGGCAAGCTGGTGTAGATTTACCCTTTTCATAAACCACTCAAGACTGGCTGGAGAATGAGAAATTCCAAAGTTGTAGAGAAAGGAACAGGATGACAGGAGGCAGCGTCTTTTATCATTATTGTTACCTTCTATCATTTTTGTTCCTTTCTTTTCCGCTTTGATTTTTCTCATTCTTTACCTACAAGAAAAATTCAAAAGTAAAGGTAAAGAAAATTCAGTTTTCGTTGCATAGGGTTGCTTTCTCCGCGCGCTCAGAAGCTAACCATGGAGCATGCTTTACAATAGATGGGATGGATTTGCGGAAATTCATTGTTTTGAAGGGCGCGATCTGTTGGGTACGCATGAACTAAAAGAAAAAAAATAGTCGAGTACGTACCCGGCTGGGTCACTAGATTACTTGTCCCTAAAAGTACCTAACCAATTACTTAAAGTCTTGCATGTGCTTTCCCTAAACTTTGGCCATATCTCACGATGATGGCCAACCATTCTAGTTTGTATATCACGCAAGTGAGAGAAAGAAAAAAAAAATCAAGATAATTTATATCGTTATTTAAATTGGACCGGCTTTACTCTGATGATAGAAATCGAATCTTTCTTGAGAAAATAATCTCCAAAAGTCTTCTTATTTACCGTTTGTTTATCGTTTGATGCTTTATAATGCACTGGTTTTGTATTTACATTAATTCATACTCGGACAAAAAAGACTTTTAAAATTGAAAAAAAAAAAAAAAAAAATTCTCTTTTGAGCAGTTCAGAACGTTCAGAACGTTGAAACGTTCTGAACGTTTGAGCGTTCAGAAC